CCCACAGGTGGACACCAAAGCACCCGCCTTGCTCGGGGTGCGTGGAGCAGACACAGTACAGCCTCGGGGCTCCGCTGGTGACGGGGCTCTGAGTGGGGACCTGCCTGTGTGTGGGGACAGGGGACCATGCCACGCATCCGGCAGACCTTTGTTAACATTGTGACTTAGGAGGATATTTTGAAATATTAAAAATGCCAAGTGCTTCAGCAGAGTAGGCAATTATTTTCAGTATTTTGCAAAGCCAGAATGGACTTGTCATGCCAGAATGTCATGGTGTGCTTGAAGGTCAGTGAACCTGCCAAAAAAAGTTGCTCACTAAGTGCCAGACTTTCACTGAGACACGTTTGTCAGATGCCATAAAAAGACCAAGATCTGCAACTTGTGACACCTGCAGAAAACTATCTCAGGTAATAGCCGTATCTATTTCAGTGACATCTGGGGTCAGGCTTATTTTCTCATATTTCTATTATTTAAGCGTGAGCCTCATCATGAAGAATCAATCTTTATTTTACGATCATAGAAGCATTTTCTATTTGTCAAATATTACAGGAGCCCTGCTGATCAATTGCAATAAAACAATCAACTCCCGATGTGCCATCAGCGCAGCAATGCCAGGAATTCACAAAGGCAGGCTACATGAACTGCTAGGCAGCAAATTGAATGCAATAAACTATCATTTTCCTGAATACCTTCTCAAAACCAAAATGTAAAGTACACACTTCAGGTTCAGCACCTCCGATGGTTTCTACACTGAACCACAGAGATGCCACAGGCTTCCTCTGCTGCACCCTATCTATTTTGATGGGGAGTTTTCTCCTTCCCCGACAGCTGTGGTGTGGCTCCATGCTGCAGCACTGGTAGGGCAGGGGCAGCAGACAGAAGGCAGAACCCAAGGGTATTTGCTTCCTTCAATTTTAAGAAAGCAGATGCTTTCATTTTTCAGAAGGCAGATGGTGATTTGTTAAGACCAACTGTTTTCACCAGTTTCGACTGAACTTTTCATGGATGCTGTTTCCCAGGGTCAAGTCATAACTTCCAGCCAAAGTCAGAGATCAATTTGAGGAGAGCTGAAACCAGAGGTTTCCATCTCCCACGAGGGTTCTCTAGCCACTAAACCAATCTCTTTCCCCACTGCAAACAAAAGCAAAATAGCTGCAAAAGGAGAGATCAGGAGACACTTGCCCAGGAAGAACAAGTAATGCAGGCGATGCCATTTGATGGACAGGAGCCCCAGGTGCTCATTTGCTTGATTTATACATAGCTGGGAGTCAGATCTCTGCTCCTTGAATTTGTTGGGGTTTTTTCTTCCTTTAATTTCATTCTACTCCCAACCAAACTTTGAAAGACCTTTGCAAACTACACTTTTGCTTATGACTCTACTTTCCATATTACAAAACGTAGTTATAGCCTCACTACAGAAAACAGCAGGTGGCTTGGCACATAATGAGTAATGCAATACCTTGAGACGATGCAGTAACCCTCAGTCTAGGGCTCAGTTTCAATCCGAGCTGTCACAGGTTTAAGATGACAGAAGAAAATCAGTATTTGTCCATTAGCCTGGCTGTATGTCATCACTGCAGGCTGTGATTTGCAACATTCTGAGTAGAAGATTTTATTTAAAGATAATACTGAGTGAAAGGGTCGAGTGCCTAGAATTGAGATTCAGAAAGGTGGTCAGCCTACCCATTTATCTGCATGACCTTTTTCATCATGGATACAATAGACACTTGCTTAGGAAAAGTGTTTGGTTTAGACCATATTGATCATACAATTTAAATGTTCACCACAGAGATGTTATAGTACATGAATAATTTATATAAAACACTGCCTTGCTGTTACTACAATATTTACTTTTATTATCAATATCAGTTAAGCCTATGTACCTATTGAATACCTAAACTTCCCTAAAAATATTGATTTCTATGTCAATCATAATGCTTTGTGTTAGTTAGCTGTTTTGTTTTTAATATTCAATAGACTGAAAATGACAGGCCTGCTTAGCAAGACAGTCCATATTAACAAGAAGTGTCAGAAATTCTCTTTATAGTCCTTGTCTTACACTGAGATCTTTTAGTGCAGAAGCTGTACCTGTAAAAATGTGGATTACGATGCAGTATCAGAGATGTAATTTCATACCACTTTCTTACAGAAGCAATAAACCCATCTGATGTAGATTAATTTTCAAAAATGAACATCATAAAACCAGGCCTCAGTTTTTGAAGCTGTCCAAATAACTGTCTTAAAAAAAAAAGAAAGAAAAAAAAATGTGCAATAGCACAAGTATTTTTGCCTATGATCTCCTGTTGATACCACCAAATCCTCATAACTTACATTTTTAAAATAGCAGACAATGGATGCACTTGAGTGTTTCAAAACAAAGCATTAGTTTTCCAAATATATTTTTTTTCTAATATTCAGGTGCTTTGTTGACTTATTTACTGACACTTACTGCACTGCACTGCTTCGTACATAAAAAACCTGAACAGCGCATTTCTGCAAAACTCGTGAATGTGATTCATATCCATGAAATAATGTTAAGAAAAAGACATGAAATTTTACTGAATAATTTAATAAAAATCATATCGAGTACCCAATCTTCCAATTCTATTACATACAAGTATAGGAATCGTTAAATTAGATTTATACCAAAACACTGGCAGAAGCAGAAATAATCCTTAAAACGCTTCTACCTCTTTTTCACCAAAAGTAAAGCCATTTTCCCCTATGTTCAGGGCTTCCTGAGATTATCCAACAGAGGGCTCCCAGTAGCTATTAAAAAACTTAATTGAGAGCCAAATGCGTGAACTATAAGATATACATACAAATCAGCATACTGTCATTTTAATAACCTGTTCTGTATGCACATACACACACACCTACACCCACTTCAGAAATTTGTAAAAGCATACAGTAAAACCACCCAGGTAGCGCCTTGTCATAATCTATATGCTGCTACAGTACGCTAGCTCAAGATTTTTTCCAAAACGCTATTTTTAACTGTGAAAAATGAGTGTATTTTTAAATTGTCTTTACACAAATGGAATTACATTTTCTTACAATTTCTTTACTCTCACTTGAGAAAAATACTATGAAAAGCATGCGGAGCAAAGTTTGACTGCTACGTGAGCACCAGTTCGTGGGAGAGGCAAGGGCAGAGACTGAAGCCCGGGCAGGTGCTCGTGTGCACAGAGCACTTGCCAAAGCCAATCTACACATGACAAATTTCATCTCATCAAGACAAAGACGGAACCGGACTGTTTCAGTAAGAGGAAATTTAAACTAGCTTAAACCTTGTTCTCTTTGTTGAGATGGTTACGAAGTGGGGTTGCAGTACAGTAGTTTTGTAATGCTGCAGTCATCAATGTACTTGGTAGATTACGCTTTTCTGACATTCAGATATCTGAGGTTAATAAAATCCAAACATTTTTTAAAGATTTTGCCAATACAAAAGGAAATCTGAGTTTGCAAAGAGTCTTTGTATATGCTCTTGGGGTTTACGAAGGGCTTCAGTCATCTACTAACTGTCCTCAGAGACTAAACGAAAGGGTCCTATATATACCCTTCACCCAGTAATACTATTCCCTTCACCATGTAAAGGCCTTAATTTTAAATACAGGACATCATAATGCATTGTGGCGTATCTTCTCTCAGAAACATATGCTGAGATTTCCTGTAGACTACGCACATTTTTTTAAAATTTAATTGAATGCCACAGCCAATACAGTATCACGTTGGTGTGTCCTGCCTGATCAAAAAAACCTCACAGCTTATTATCTACTCAAACACAACATGATCATATGTCACAGCTATTGTCCTGCAATAAATTAATGTTAGTATTTGATGGGTTTAGTAAGCTATTCACCACAGATGAAGATAATACATAAACTGTTGTACAAGATGCTTTTAAAAAAGTTTTGATAGTATTAGAAAGAAACTACCTATCTGTAATTCAGTAATTTCGTTCTGCAGCACCTGCAGATGGGCCCAGAACATGAGCCAACAAGGCATTTTTTTTTACTTCTGAGATTCAATTTGTTTTCCATAATAGCTTTTGAGCTTATCTATGATAATACTAATTTGCTTTTCTCCACACCTTTACATTCAACTGTGAAAATACATACCTGGATCCTTTTTACATGTGCTACAAAAGTAATCTAATATGTATCCTCCACTGAATGTCAGTGATTAACTCCCCTAAAACTAGTTCTGCACTTTTATAAATGCAGACTTTTTGACCAAAGTCTTAGGAGGTGAAGTACAAAAGCTATATTCTGCTATGTTACACAGCACACAGTTAGGTTTGCCTTTCAATATACAGCAATGTATTTGGTGCTTTCATTCACCCTGCTTTTACCTGCAGTGATACTGCAAAGCATGTGGACATATAATGCAAGTAGAAAAAAATTTATGGTATTTGCAGCTATATTATTATATTATCTTTTTAGAGATTTTTGGCGCAATACAGAACTAGAAGCACCCTGCCCTAACCTGAACCAAGATGAGTTTGATCTCCTCACACATTCAAAAGTCTACTTTCAGGCCAGGGTGTCTGGGTGCACATACGCATTTGGAAGATCTAATCCATACTGCAATTCGATGCAATTCTTTAAAAGCAGCCAACAGTCTCTTGACCCTCCACCCCACCATGAGAGCTGAGGTTTGGATCTGAGGTTCAAGAGCAAACTCAGACACCAATTTTTGCAATTGCCTTTGTAATTACAATACAGCCATTTCTTCAATTAATTTCTAAGTGCCTTTGGCACAGAAGTGTTTGAAAACAATCTCTTTTTTCCCTTTCAACTGGAGGTGCAGGTACACAGGACCTTTGGAAGAAACCAGACCAGTCTGGCACACAAAATTACACGCTGTTTTAAAGATTTAGACTTTCATCATTATGCAGCCATCATTTTGCTAATTAAGTCCAAGAGTACATACAATGCATGTATGGAAACAGCAGTAGTGTTACAAAAACATCAAACAAACTCTAATCCTCTACTTACCACAAGTCTCCATCTTCAATAGTCTTATCATTTGGGGCTCCAGCATGGCCGTAGTGCAAAACAGACGAGTTCTCCCCACTGACAGGCAAAAAGAAAATTAGGCACAATTAATGGCAGAAGAAACATTAACACACACAACATGAGAAGGAACATAGTAAACATGTGACACTGTAAATATCACTGTATTCATATATTAAGAACGAAATTTTGTAGTCTGTGAAAAGTGCCATAGGCCCTGCTCCGGCACACACTGTAACAGCATACCCTGCAGCTCACTCAGCAGAAATGGGTATAGAACGGGCATTTTGCTATTCTGGCTGCAAAATACAACCTTCCTGCAGAAGGAATTTGGCACAGTTCATATAAATATTTCCCACGTCTGTGACAGTGTTAAGGAAGCAATTATGCAAGAGTAATTTTTCAACCTATACCCATTTATTACCTTCTGGATTTTTTTTTTTAATTACAAAGTGATATGTTTCCCTGTTTGAGGTTAAAGATTCTGAGGCATAAAAAACTAACTTCCACTGGAGTAAAATCCGACATGTTTGAAATGCTCTAGGAGCCAGTGGGACTGGAAAAATTCAACTGTCCAAGTAAACAGCTCCAGTTCACCTCTGGCATGGCTACACGTGATCTCTGCTGGAGCGGATACACTGCACGCTGCTCGGGGAGCATTCGCAGCATACGTCAGCAGCAATAACAGGCACAAGAACTGTCACTCTATTCTCACCTCTTATTAAAAATCACATTACAAAGAAAAAAAGAGTTTTATTCCTGGAAACCTTTCAGACTAAACTGCTGATTCACAGGAATACAACATCTCCTGAGAAGGATGGACCCTTGTTCTGCACTTCTGAAGCTCCACAATCCATTCAGTGACCTATATTTGGCCTTGACATCCTCTCTTGTCTACTGATATTTCCCTGGGTCTATCCATCAGTTGAAAGACTGGTAAAGATCTCAAGCTCTACCTACTTTTCTTTTGGTATTCTCCTCAGACAGATGCTCTCTCTCTTTCTCTTCAAAAAGCTAGAAGAATTATATCATATCCAACAATACACATGTTGGGACAGGGTTACTGCAGCATCTCTCTGACCCCTCCAGCTGACTTGTCAGTCTGTAATTCCCCTTTCATCAAAACCGTATTGGTCATCCTGCTCAAATTTGATTCTTTCAAGTTGTGATGGTGGAACAGCTTCATATCTTAGGTGAAAGGAATCTGAGGCTCAATTTCAATGAATCTTTGGTTGTATCTGGAGTAAATGTGCCATCTGACATACTTCTCGTATTAGACTCCATAAGCAACTATTATAGAGGAGAAAGTAGATGCTGCCTTAAGTTTCTGAATTCTATCAATCTAAAGGGCTGGATCACGTTAATATTTTGAAAGCAGTAAGTTTTTATTGTTAAGTATTTTTTAGCATATAAGAATCACTATGTAATAAGGCAGTGAAGGAAAATGTTTCAGAATCATGGGAATGATTTTCTGATACAAAGTGTATTTCTTAAAATTATACACACTCCAAAGGGAAAAATTAAAGTTGCTAAATCAAGAGTTTAAAAACCCCACAGAATTAAGGCTGCAACAAATTTGTTTTGTGATGCTGGTCCATGCTTAAGCACAGTTTTACAACCGGCTACTAACTGGCTGCTTTTTATTTCCTGGATGCCTAACTTGGGAACCTACACTGTTGTGCAGATGACTAAAAACCACCCCATACAGCTTGCACACAAGATGAAGACAGACATGAGCTTCCTTCTGAGATATCCTGTCTCCCAGGCACTGGTGGAATCATTCCTTCTGGCCAAAATTTGTTTTCCATGCCAGGACACTTTCAAACTTAGTTTGCTCCGTCTGAAAAAAAGGTCTACAACAGGGCAATGGACTGCAATCAAAACAAAAGGACCTTCTGTGCCAGGTGACAGGTACAGCAGGAACTGTGTTTCCAGCCTCAGCCGTCTCCTTTCACGTGCAGGTGACAGCAGTGGAGACAGCTCCTGCCCCTGCGTTGGACTAGCAGCACGATGAGAGGAGGCACTATCGTTTCCTGCCTGACTAACTGTTTCCCAGGTGGAGGGCTACAATTTTTTGAGGGGCAGCACTTGGAAGCCACTGGAATGACCCTGGTGCTATGCATCACACTCTTTGTGAAACCACATGCTTGGTGGTTACGGAAAAATACAAAAATAAAATGAAAAACCGAACACATAGCATACACATGCACTCTCCACAGCAGTTTGTCAGGATTTTAGCTGCAGATACTATTCCTTATCTCCCTCTAAAAATAGGGATAAAGCAGGAGAAGCAAATAGCACATGCATATATTTATGATCAACTTTTAAAAAATTATCATGAAGCCTAAGGGTATGACTTCATGCTAATGCATTTGCAGATAGCTTGTTTACTTATCATCATATGCTGGCACCCCCGGTGTCATATACCGTATCAGCTGCTTAAACAAGTTATATATTCAACTATGAGCACTGCACAAATGCTTTCAACAATAGACATTGCAAATACAAAGATGGGGGACCTCTTTTGCACATTTTAATGTAAAGGTTTTAGTTTACAAAATATTTCTGTAAGGTTCAGCACCAACTGTTATGGAAGATGCATGAAAAAATTCTGATTTTCAGCACTGTCAGTGAAGCGTTAAGCAGCACACAATCTTTCTTGGCATTTGAGATTCCTTATCTGTCAAACACATCTTGGCTCTGCAGGGTAAATGGGATCGTACCACAGAGAGCACAGTAGGTGCTGAAGACCAGATACACACACCATATGCACTTTAGGTTTTTGTCTGTTTGAAGCGACTGGAGCGAGGAGGTCTGCTCACTTGGGACTGGCTCTGGGCAGGTCCCCCAGGCTGAACACCCATTAGCAACCAAGGAACAGCAGACCTGCTCCTGAAAGCTCTCCCAGCAGTTCTTCACCAAAAAGAAATCCAGCACGTGCACTCCAGCACTGGTCCCTGACTGCGAGCAAAGCCCCGCAGCTGGGGCCGAGCAGGAGATGTTGCTTCAGAAATGCACTACCGATCCAAATTAAAACACTGATGTAGACACACCTCCAGCCCATGCCTGCCAAGAGGCACAAGTCCAGCCTTCCTCACAGGAAGCGTCTTTACCACCATCCCAAGATGAAGGCAGGAAAGATGCTTTAGGAGCAATGCTACAGAAGTGATGTGTATTCACAAGGTAAATGCTACAGCTAGCCAGAAATGCTTCATAATGATTCAGTTAGACTTTCAAGGTGTCTTCAAAACAATTTAAACAAAACCCCCAGCCACTGGCAAAGCAAACGAACCTTCCTGTAGAGGCTATTTCTCTTCTTCCCAAGGAGCAACAGTTGAAAGGCCTGGCATTAGAGCACCAAGGTCAGGGTTTAAAATGAAGCAGTGTGGATCACTGGGGGTCAGCACCTTTGAAAACCACCACACGTGGGGATGCTGCTGTCTGCCTTGAGGCAGCCAACCTGAAAAATTTCTGTGTATCTACTCTTATTCCTTTAACAATTTACCTCTAACTGGTGCCAAAGACGTGTTCATTGCAGAAAGAATTGCGTGAAGTGGCAGAAAAGCTGCAAATTAACACTACTAAGAATGCAAACAGTAGGAAGAGATTCAGATTACTAGGAAAGGGGAAAAAGTCCCCAAATACATTTTAGATCAGAAAACACCCTGAAAACAAATGATTAGAAGAAAGAGGAACGTCAGCAGTATTTTAAGAACAGGACTAAGCTGAGCATCAAGCTTACAAAAAGTGCAGCTATTAGCTCTACATTAAGAGCATCTAAAGAAAAGACAACAGATCATTTGCTAAAACAGCAAACTATTTCCATCACAATTTAAACAATAAAATCAATCCAGAAGGAAGCACTTCTCTCCATTTTTTCATCTAAGAGGTGAAATCTTAGATAGTTGTATAGAAAAGAAAGAAAGAAAACCAAATTCAGTAAGTATCCTGATCTCATCCAAAAAGCTTTGCTTATGGTGATCCTCAGGTAGAGGAAGGCACTTTACTGCACTATGTTATTCTTAATTACTGGTATCATCTGCTGAGAGCTGTCATCTGCCTGGAGACACCTGTCAAGAAGATCTGAATCTAAGTCTGAGATTCCGCAGTATCAAGTAGCAGCTCACCGAGTGTTCTGTGGTGGTTGCGGAGATACTGATGCCTCCACCTCCACCTAACCCCAGCTGGAAACTCTGCGCCTGGTTACCAGTGGATGCCATCCATTGTAGGGTCACCAGAACACACTGTACTGTGCATGTAACTTCACCTTTGTTTTCTCCTCCATAAAAATGGTTACTTGGTACACTAAGACACTGCAATGAATAATTCATTAGCATTTGAACACTACTCGGAAGTCAATACTTTGCAGATTAGAGCTAAATATATCCAAGTGCATTTATCAAATACTACCATTCTCATTTAATTGCACGTATGTAACGTCTGTTTGTGCTTCAAACCACTTGCAGGTTGACTGTGTTTGAAAGCACCACTAACTACAGGACTAACCTTGTTATATGATCACCTGTAACACTAATATATGTGTGGTGTTATTCTCAACTGATTGGAGAGTGAATACTTGCAAGTGAACACATTAAGCATGTTTGGTCACATCAAATATTCATTTACCATCTCCTGACGAGTGTAACACTGGACAAGGACAGCAACAAGTGCATGCACTCGACATGTGCCAAGTGATGTATTTCTGTACTGAAATGTAGTATTGATTATTTTTCATTTCCAGCTTAGTGAGCACCTTTTCTAAAATCTGAATAACAAACTTGTTTTTTTATTTAACAGCATGATTCTCTTCTATGGAAATTATCATCAGGCCTGTAATGTAAAAAGGAAAGATCCTGTCAAAATATCACAGTTTTAAGTGTTGGGAAAACCAACAAAACTCAGCATGAATAGAATAAAAGAATAACTCTCCAAAAATCCTAATTCCAAAAAGTATTCTTAATCGTAAATGTAGTTAAGTGTAATATTTACAATGAATGACATTTTCATGGTAATAAAAAATTGCCTATTATTTTTGCGGTTATTAAGTTAATTGAATTAATCAAATAGATCTACTTACATTCATTTTATTAGGACCTAGCTTAAAACTGTTAATATTACTCATTCTTACTTCATCATTCATAGTCAGAATATAGCAATTCACAGACAAAGGCCTTTGTATTCTCTCTCATGTAATTTTATTTTTTTTAAATCAAGTTTGTCTGCAATTTTAATTGTAATAGTAGGATACAATGCCAGCTCCCAACTACGAGTCACGATATTGTTAGGATCTTGCATTTCAAGGGCAGCTCTTCTCCATGTATTAAATCCTCCAGTGGTTCAGAGGCAACTCACACTCTGCTCCCATGCCCTGCTAAGCCCCTCCAGCATGGTAGGATGGGACACCCAGGAAGCTCCTGTCATCACCCACTTCTGAACTACTGTTGGGGATTTCTCCTCCTCCTGGGTTCCCCAAGTTACCTAACACAAGTCCTGGGTTCTTCAGTCCTGCATAGAGTTTAGTCTGTCCCCACAAGGTCACAAGGACCCACTACACAAGCATACGGTGGACGTTTCTATAGGTTTAGCAAAGCCATTGATGTTCTCTAGCACCCAAACCAGATCCTGCAGTATGGGTTCTGATTTACTGGAAGTGAATGTGAAGTCGGTATGGCTGTGAAAAACCACACACAGAGACAACTTGATTTTACCGTCACAGCCTGTGATAATATCATAGAGATGGAATCTCATTTCAGTAGAATGTTAATTCTCAAGTTATAGGATGGTACTTAAACCAGGAAATTTTTCAGACAATTTAGATGCATGATTTGCCATAAAACTGCTCATGCTCCTACCGCAATTTTGCATATAAATTGGAAAATTGCATTTACAAATAAGCAATTGAGTAAACAGTAGAAAGAAACAGAGATGTTAATTATCCTTATTATGTCCAAAGCAATATAACATTATTGTCATTAACATAAAATTATTTTTATAAGTGTAATGGACTTGAGTGTAGGGTAAATGTTTCCGAGTAGCAGCAGATCTACAAGTGGAACATGTATACCAACATATAAGCCTCATCTAACTGTCATGTATCTCTGATTAGACTAATTCTACTGACTAAATAAGATTAATCTCTACACAAAGCACACAGCTGTCCTTCAACATGTATCCTACACTATTCTCTTGAAATTCTGTGAATTAAAAACGTGCGTTTCTACAACCGCAGGGAGAACTTTTATAATACCTTCCCAAATACACCACCTTCAACACTAGCTGTTCAGCAAGAAAAAGAGAGAGCAGAAAATTTCCAAATTCCAAAAAGATTAAACTAATCACATCCTAACCTCCAAGGCAAAGAATTTTGAGAATGATATGAAATACTTAAGGTGTATTTCAAAGAGAGTATTTTTGAGCAACAGAGAATAGCTCTAAAGCCCTTCTCCATAATGCTGTTTAATAAAAAAACCAATTGCAGCACAGATGTGAGCATAAACATGATCTTGGCAGTAGCAGCAGTCATTGGGAAATCTCTTGAGTGTAGCAGAATCTGTAACCGAATTATTTCTTTAAAACACAGTGTTAGCCACCTTTCTTTGGCTTTTCCAGCGGAAACGGTTCTAAAATCCCTCTGATGGTACTTGCAAACACATCATGTGCCTAAAAGGAACAATTTTACAAATATCCTGAGGGAACTGACCATAAAGACTGCAACAGTTCAGTATAAACCATTGACTTACCTGCCACAGATGCAAGTGTAGGAAGTGTGGCGCATGCCACCTCGAGTATAGCAGTAGTGCTGGAACAGGCTGCGAAGAAAGAAAGGTGGTAATTAATAATATATTCAAAACCACCACAAGACAGAAAAAGCAAGTCTTCTTTTAGTACAGCTGTGTTGGTGCAAATCCCCAGCTCCGCGACGAGGCTCTCTGCCAATTTCTGCTCCACTGAGCACTCAAATTCACCCACATCCACAGCTCAGCAGTCCTGCCGAGTGTCACGCGATTTCCACAAAGCCCATTAAGCAGCTCTGCAGCAGAGAAGAGGGGCTTGAGTGCAGCTTGGTAACTTCAAATGGCAAAATGCTATCCTTAACAACTCAACACAGAAAGGCAAATGATTGTTGGCAGAAGGTAGTTCATCTGACCATAGAATGAACAGGATGGTAACAGTTAAATGCTGAAGCCGGCTAAACCCTCCGAAGCGGAGCTGAGAAAACCCCTTGCTGCATTTCAGGTACACAATCACATCCACGAGCCTTATTTTCAACCCTGCTGCCTTCAGTCTATGGCATGTTGATTCAGCAAAAGTGAAGTCCAACCAACCCTTCACGGGGAAGGAGCTCACCAGACAGGGCAAAGCTCTTCAAAATAATTTCAGCAGAAGCTCTCTCATTTTTACCACCTCACTGACACCCCTCTGTTGAGAGCTGAATTAAATATCCCAATATATGTGTGAAGCCTGAATCACATCTGATCATGCTGTACAGTGTCCTCTCCAGACGAGCCAGCACAGCTTTCCCATTACATCAGGCACTTTCTGCTAGCACCACAGTCCAGGCTGGAATGGATGGTTTCATGTTTTCTTGTCTGTAGCACAACAGACACACAGAAAACATAAGGCCATTCCATTTCTGACTGTGGTACCTAAACACCTCTACGATCTTCCCCTGGCCCAAACATGGGAAAAAAATTAACACAGACTCAATCCCAACAGCAAGAAGATAATGTGGTAACATTGGGCAGAGTCCTCAACAACCTATAAAGAACATTACAACACAACATTGTTGGCTTTTGTGTGTGTGAGGGAGAGGGAGAGCAGCCCTGTGCTCTCCAAGAGCGCTCCTCTTGCACTGCCCTGCTGGAGGAGCTGTTTGGCCTTAAAAGCATTAAAACATTTTCATCTTCACTGTCAGAGTCTCCTTCACATGAGGGCAGATGTGCCCAAAGCACAATTAATATAGGATTAGGTGCTTTAAGAGCTAAGCACATATCATTGGATCCTTTTATTCTTTTTGAAATATGCTCTAATTACAATCCAATTCCCTTTAATACTGAATGAATTTCAAAAACTCATTTCTTGTAATAGTGAAATCATTTCATTAACACAGTGATAATGGTGCTATTCAAAGAATAGAGATGTTGTGATTTTGTCCTTCTGTAGAAGCAATCCACAGAACACAATTCAAATTCTTTGAAGGATATTAAAGACATTACATGCTTGTAAATCCAAACCAGATTTTAAAATTAGAGAAAATGACGGTATTTAAAGACAAACAAAACAAAACATACAAATCAATCACACAAGGAGAAAGAAAAGCCTACATTTAGAGACTTAGTAGGGAGACCCAGTTTACAAGATCTCTTTTCTGCTCAATATGCTGTGGTTTTACAAGGTAGAAATACTAATTTTGTATTGCCCCAGAAACCAGTAATGGCAAAGAGTAGGTGAAATGACAGAGAAGCAAAGAAGAAACTCTGACATGGTGAGAACACAGCAGAGATATCACTAAACTGAGCTAATAAAATTTATCACCTAAACTGTCATTTGCTCTGATGCAGACATTTTTTCACCAAATGGACATTTCATATGGAAACGAAGTTCCAATTCTGCCCTTCCCTAGTATGCATGCAGGCACAGATTAGTCTGCAAAACACAATACTATGAACAAACATTTTGCACAGTAACATATTATACTGTTATGTATGTATAGTTACATTTTAGGAAACAACTTTTAGTGTATTTTATAGACCCTTCACCTTAAATGATTGAACAAACTATTTCCTCTAGACAGCAACTTTCAGCAACCTTCTAAAGAGCTTTAAAAATGAAATAACGAAGGTTGTAAACATCTTTCCATCATCAGTGATGCAGGGATAGCAGGGTTTATTTTTCCATATGACAACTGATCACATATTCATGGCTGCAATTTATATGAAACTGTGCAGTCGAGTAATAGTATTCACCTTTTGCAGTACTCCCCGACTAGCCGTAAAAAGTGGTAAATAAATTAAGACATGCTTCGTATAATCCAGCTGTTGCCTGAACTTTGTTTCTGGTTTCTAAAGAAGGAACCTGATTGTTTCATCAAACATTATGGACTTTCTTTTAAGAGTAAGAAAGAAGTTCAGTGTGACTTGAGCTGAAGATAGTACAACTTTGCCAGGTAATGAGTTTTCCGCTAGTAAAACTACTTGTATCACTTTTTTGAATTTACTTTTTTGGGCTATGACTCATTAGAAATATGTTCATGCAGTTAGAAAAAAACCCCTCAACATTTCTGTCAGAGACAGCCAACATACTTGTATAACATGTCATAGTTAAGTGAAGGATTGCATATCCCTTTAATGGCAGATGCTGGCTTTTCAAAGCTGAAAAATGTATATATAGAATTAGAGAAGCTGCCAGAACTTTGCAGTTAAAATCCTGGTTCCACTGAAATTAATGCAGATTCTGCCACTAGACTTCACACCAGGATTTCACCATCTACACACTGCAAGAATCTTTATCCAAAATTGCGATACAAAAATATAAAGTCTGAAATAGTTGGATGGAATATCATTTAATCTGGCACTCGCTATATATTGCAAATATTGCATCTTGAACTTTGCCTGGTCTTTTTGATTGGAGGGTATGTGTGTTTAGGCAGTTTTATGTTGGTGCTGGATGCTTTGCTGTGAGCTTTTAATGCAACCAGCACAGATACAAAAGTTAAGCACCTCTTTCTCTTCTCCTTCTTTCATGGGTTCCAAAGCTTCCTGTCATGTTTTATGCAGTATTTCCCTGGGGGCGTATATATTACTTATCATGCACGTACTACCTTGGTGGTGTATACAGATCAGCCATTGGTATATTTGCATGTCAGATGCTACCTTTTAAATGGATACAACTTTGAGCTGGCATGGGTTTTGCATTGCTTTTGAAAGAACTTTTTAAAAAAAAACTTTTTGGTGTAGAGGTGCATCCTGGGTTTGGTGCTTCTTCTTTTTGCCAAAAACATCAGCTCCTTTAACCAATTGACAATATGTGGAGATTGAAGGTAGTTTTAAAAACCTCACTGTTTTTTCCATTAATTTAAAAAAATTATTAGCCACCATCAACTCATGTAAATCTGACATGAGTGCACTTGTCCCCATCCTTGCAAATTTGCTGAGGCACAAGACAGTGTTATCCCCATGGCCCTGCTAAGCCTTGCCTACCTTACTGACTATACTGACTCGAGAGAAGAAAACTCTGCTTTCAGAAATAATGGGGAGGTTCATCATTAGAAATAATGAAAAAGTATATACTTGCTATTTTTGAGAGCTGGTGGAGCATTGCATACATCCAAACAAAACTCCAGAATATTGACAATGATGCTTGTGTCTTGTGATCATCTTTCATCCAGTTTCTACTGCTGTCTAATGCATACTGACAATTACAATCAGATCTGTGCTATGAATGTAAAATTAATCAAATAAAGTAGATTAATGCCAACAGTTTTCCTTACTTAAAAGTGGATTTACGGAATAAAGACACTTAAAGCAGGAGGGATAGAAACTATCTGTAATGACTTCCCTCACACTTTTTGCTTATTTTCAGATCTTCCTCATCACTAGAACATAACATATCCATACACACTCAGCAGAGTGTGATTTTTATTTCCCAAGTAAACAAGTCATCTCTAACTTGAATTCTTGTCATCAGCTCTTCCTGAGTTACAACAAATATTTATAAGAAAACCACATTTTGTATTTTTCAGCTATTCACTCATCTATTCAGTCCCAAACCCAAGACACTTCTAGATCAAAAAGATTCAATTCTAAATAAAAATCCAATTGAGTATTTTCAGGTAAAAACTGTAATTACAGAAAATACAGTAAGTATGGAGGAAAAAAAAAGATAGAGAGGGAACATAAAGTGGCAAGAATACCTGACAAAAACCCTATTAAAAACCTCAGCCAAGTTTCTGTAACACTGCCAAATACATTCCTCAGTGGCATCTTCTGATGGTCCCTCTACCCCAGTTCCACATCCTTAGTAGCAGAATGAGATATGCACATCGCTTTGGGATGGAGGAACAATTACTCATTCCAAGGTTTCCGATGATGGAGGACCAAACTCACTGAATAACCCTGTTCACTATTCCCAGACACTGGAGCCACATCAAGAACACCTGCTGGATACTGGTAGTTCAGGAACCAGATTTTTAGATTCTTATCAGAAAGATCTGCTGTCAGAAATACAACTTGCCTTGTGAAACATACAATGTACGGAAGAGTCAAGGACACTCATGGGTCAAAATCTTTAAGGTATTTATATTGAAAATATATTAATTTTTTTCCACACTGGATCACTCCCTAGTTTGAGGATGTTTCAGATCCACAACAACGTCCTCAGTGCACCTTTGAGAAAGTTGCCTCCTTCTACACACTTCAAAAACAGTATTCTTTGAACACAGCCGTTGAGACTTGCCTTGAAATGCAAGCAGGTGGTTTTGAACTATAAATTGGAAACCACAGCAGCTTAAGAGAGTTCTCTACAGAACCTGGAGAATTTTCTGTAGATGTTTGTTTTATTTTTTTTTTAAATGAGTACAGCTGGAAGACATAGGTGAATACCTATTAGTTACCTGTGCACCAAATTACTTTTGAATTACAACTAGAATGTGCCCTTATGCTTTTTGTACAGTGTAAATATCAAGTGTAGCCATGAGACAGGCTGAAACTCAAAGCTTTTTTAAAGAATTCACAAAAGGCCAAAATTTCCAAATCTGATCTATTTCTACCAGGACTGAAAGCCACTTTTTTGATCATTTAGACACAAATAT